TGCCAATAGGGTGAGCATCACAGAATGCCAGGTTGTTAGAACAAAATGTTCTTGTGTTGAGGGAGACCATGAGCAGAAGCCTGAAGTCTGTTCACTACCTCAGTATATTGTCATATAAATAAATGTACATAGGCAAATACCTCTATTTTTATGAATTAATGAATTACATATGTACACACCTATGTTTATACCCTGATCCTAGCTTTTCTTTCTATATATTTCCTGATTTCTTTTACCTCCCTCCTGCCCCACCATTATGCTCACCCTTCTTCTGCCTCTTAGTAATTCCTCTTAATTAAATTGTTGTTGCTCCCAAACCCCCACGATCTCCAAGTCCTCCTCCTTGTTGCTTTTAATTCCCTAGTTGTTCCCCCATGCATGGAGTTGTTTTCTCACTGCTCCCTTCCACTGCCTCCTTCTTCCCCAACCAACTCCTGGGGTTAACTCTTTAGCTACCCTGTACGACAGAATAGAACGATTTCATCTGGTTGCCAAGACTAAGCTGTTAAGTTTCAACCAAGAACTTAACTGTTATACCAACAGAGATTCTGATGTGGGGCCAAGTCGGCAAGCAAACAAACAAAAATAGGAAACTCATCCTTTGTTCTGGCCACTTCTTCAAGTTTGGTTTTCCTCCTACAATCTGCCTGCTTTTGTTTACTTGTCAATATCCTCAGCCAGCTGATTTTTCCAGTGTTTACAGATGTTTCAGGGAAGAGTCTCCTGTTGTTAGATAAGAAAATTAATAGATAGGCATGGGCAGCAAGCTCGAGGAGAAAACAACAGGAGTGATGATTCAGAGGAATTTGGGGGTTGGGGGGAGGTTGGCAAAAGGAGCAGTGAGAAAACAGTGCCATAGACAGGGGAACAACTAGGGAATTAAAAGCAACAACAAGGAGAAGGTAGTGATCCAGTGGTGTTGGAGCAAAAGCAATCTAGCTGAGAGGAATGAATTACTAAGAGGCAGAAGAAGAGCAAGTGTGATGGTGGGGCAGGAAGAAGGTAAAAGGAAACAGGAAAGATCTAGGAATCAAAGTTATGGATAGAGGTACGCACTTTGGTTTGCACTTATGTAACTATATTAATTCAATAAAACAGAGGTACTTGGCCTATGTACATATATTTACATGACAATACATTGAGGAAGTGAACGGACTTTGGGCCCCTGCTCAAGTCCTCCTGCAATGCAAGAATACTTTGTTCTAACAATCTGGCATTCTGTGATGTTTGCCCTCCCAACACAATCGCTGAAGACAAAATGGTTGCATAAGCAAATGTAGTGAAGACAGCTGATGGTGCTCATCTGTGTTAGTCTTGGTAGACTAGAGAAACAAAACAAGAGACACTAATGTGTATAAAAATAGCTTTATATACAAAAGCAGTTGAATATTGAGAAAATACCCCAGCCTAGTCCAGATCAAGTTCAATCTTAATTTAGCTTGTTTTAGTCATTATCTAAACTATTCTATTGATATAAATATATGGGAATAGGCCTCTGACAGCATTGCCTGAAGCCAGGACCAGTCCTTCTGTCAGCCATGCTGACCTCAGTCAACCATGATCTCTAGCCAGTATGGTCTCTGAGAACTTTAAGGGGCGAGTTCTACCCCTGAGCTCAAACTATAAGTTACAACATTCATCTTTGCCATTTCACACAGGAATAACCAATGACTCCAAACAAACAAAACAACCAAAACTCTAACTTCCCATAATCTTTACATAAAACCACCCAGTAAACTGCATGGGCATATCTTACTTCTGGATAGCCCAAGAAGAAGCATTGCCATGAGGCAGAAGTCAAATAAACATCTACTCTACATCTTTATGATTTGTTTCTCTAGTACCACACTCCCAAGGTACCATATTGTATTAGTCTGGGTAGACTAGAGAAGCAAATTCATAGACACTCATGTGGGTATAAGAAAGCTTTATATACAAAAGCAACTGTACATTAAGAAAACATCCCAGCCCAATTCAGATCAAGTCCCTAAGTCCCATATGTCTGATATAAATCTATAAAGTCCTCTTCAGACTCATGAAAGACATGCAATGATGCCGTATGCAGGAAGATCACAGGCCATTGGGCAGGAAGTCTTGTGAATCCAGTGGTGGTGTAAGCATATCAACACTGACAGTCCAGCTCAGGACACTATCAGAGTTCCACATGTCTTGTAAGTAGAGCGTCTCGCAGGGAGTGAGCCTAGAGAAAGTGTGTCTCCTGCTTCCAAGGAGGAAATGCCAGAGTTCCCAGAATACTCAGGAGAAGGCCATGCCCACACAAAGGCCTCATTGGCTATGATGGGATTGACAGACTAGACTCCACCCCTTAACTCTTAATCCTCTCAAGTCCCAAATTGACACCAGATTATGTAACTACCACATTGTCTTTCAAAAGACATAGTTTCTGGGGTCTTAAAGGCTTGGAAGTAAACAAGTGGCAATCTAGCAGAGAAGCAACAAGCCTACATGGAAGTAGCACACCAGTCTGTGTGATCATGAGATGTCAACGGGTTCAGGTACCAGATACCAGAAGACACAAAACTAACTAACTAACTAACTAACTAACTAACAACTAACTAACTAACTAACTAACTAACTAACTAAACATATTCTTGTGAATGAGGGGGGTTGGAGCAGACACCCAAAACCCATCTGTAGACAATAGGACATCCCCACACAGAAGGGTCAAAAGAAAGGGATGAGTCAACTAGGGAGCAATATAGCACCAATGAAATAAAAAATATTCCTCTGATTCTTTGAGGCTTCCTCTCCCCCCACTATCATGACCCAGTCCTGCATTTCAGTTCTGGCTAAATCAGAGCATGTACATTGGTATAGATAAAAACTCACGACATACAGAATCCAGATCAGATAAACCCCTCAGGATCAGAAATGGAAGTAGCGATACCAGAAGTTGGGGGCAGAGGGGAGGAAGGGGGAACTGATTGCAATTATCAATGCATAATTACACACACACACACACACACACACACACACACACACACACACACCACAGGCCTCAGGGGGATGGACCACAGAAACATGGGTGAAGGGAGACAGCTGTTGGTGTTAAATATGAAAATAATAAATTATAAATTAACAAGGGGTCATGAGTGTGAGGAAGGGGAGGGAAAAAGAGGAGCTGATACCAACGGCTCAAATAGAAAGTAAATATTTAGAAAATTATGATGGCAACATATGTATAAATATGCTTGAAACAATTGATGTGTGGAATGCTGTGTTAGTCTGAGTAGAATAGAGAAACAAATTCATGGACACATACGTTATAAGAAAGAGATTTATATACAAGAGCAGTTGAATATTAAGAAAACAGCTCAGTCCAGATCAAGTCCATGAGTCCAATATTACCCCGTATGTCTGATACCAATCTATGAAGTCCTCTTCAGACTCATGAAACACATGCAGTGACGCAGAACACAGGAATATCACAGGCCAGTCAGTAGCAGTAAGAAGCATCTCAGCACTGGCAGGGGACTCCATGTGGCTCCTCCAGTTCCCAGGGCTGCATCAGGGTAGATGCATGTAGCTTCTCCTCAGGGATGTCTCACAGGACTTGAGCAGAGACAGACAGTAGTGTCTCCCACCTCTAAGGAGGAAGTACTGGAGTTAACAGAATTCTCAGGGAAGGCCATACCCACGGAGACCTCATTGCCTATGATTTGATTGACATACTAGATTCTACCTTTCACTCTTAATCCTCTGAAGTCCAAATTGACACCAGATTATGTAGTAACTACCTCAAATGTTATAAGAGTTTTAAGAACCCCCAGTAAAATGACTTACAAACCCCACTAAACTGAGAACAACAAATGCTGGAGGTGTGAAGACATTGAACTCATATAGTGCTGGTGGGCTTGTAAATACATACAAGCAATGTGGAAAGAGTGATATGGTGATTCCTAAAACAGATGGCAATATAAATACCATATAATCCAGTAAAACCATTACTGGTCAAATTCCCCAAAGAAATAAGAAAGAGACCATGAACAGACGTATGCTTCCCCATTTTCATTGCAGCATAGTTCACAAAAGCAAGAGGTGGGAAATGGCCTAAATTCCCATCAGTAGAACATTGGATTAAAAAACGCTGGTATAGCCAGGGCTTGGCACCCCATCAGACTTGACTGGAAAACCCTCCTAAAGGCGAACAAACAGTCCTTGAACTAACTGCAGGCTTTTCTTTTTTGTCGTTGGTGGTTTTTTTATGTGTGTCATTGACATTTTGTTGTTGTTGTTGTTGTTGTTATTTTGTTTTCTTTTATTGATTTGTTTTGTTCTGTTTTTCAGTATATGAAACTCAGAATTGATGAACCTGTAGAGATAGCAAGTAGAATAAAGGTTGCTAGGGCGGTCAACTGGGGGCTGATATAATGAATCTTATGTCACAGAGTTCAAGAAGAAAAAGGATGTTTTGAAACTGATTGTGGCAACGACTGTACAATACTGCTAGAGGTGATGGAACTATTGAAGTATGTGATATCTGTCTTAACTCCCAATATGATGGCTTGGGAAAAACCACAGAAAAAGAACCATCGCGAGAGCGGCACGGGACCTGGGAGCTTTCCTTTGCTGCGCATCGGGCCGCTATGAGCTGCAACCAACACCTAACAAGAAAAAACATGTTGACATTTTTGTGGTGAATTTGTCTGTTTTCTTTTATTAATCATACATTTTATTCCCAAAAGTCAGATAATTAAACATTTAAATAATTTAGTGTACCTTTATCCACTGATCTTTAACACAAGCATCATGATATAGTAAATTATTATAAAGATGCATATATTTTTATTTGAGTTATTTACTCCTTCTACAATAACACTTACACAGTCATATAAGTTTTTGAAGTAAAATAATTAAAGTTTAACAATAAAATAAAATAACCCTCAATGTTTAACTGATTCTAAGTTTAAATGTAGAGAATTAAAAAATCCACAGTACAGAAAATTTTCTAAAAACATTCACAATTCATGCATCAAGCTTTCAATTTTTCCTATTACTATTACAATTTTACTTATTGAGTCTCTTTAATATTTTGCAATTCACAGAGCTCATCAAACGTATGCTCATTATTTAAATGTACTTGTATTTTTCACTAATAGTGTCAATAAAGAACTGAGATTTTATCATTAACAATCACATGAAAGGAGCATATCAATATGAATATGAAAGCATGTTTTACAATTACTAGTTTTTATATGATTGTTTTGGACTCTGATTAAAATTCTATTCCTCCTTTACATCCCAGGTGAACTTCAGAGGAATATCTTTCATCTTCCTTTGGAAGATCCTGTCAAACATCTCACTCTGTTCCACGGTCAGGTGATGTTTCCAGTCTCCAACTGTACCTAGTGAGGTAAGCACACGAACAGTAGCCAGAGGAGACAAGGACATGATGAAGGTGAAGGTTCTCTCCCCACTTAATCTCTCCTCTAAGTCAAGCTAAATATTTCCAGTAGGTTACCACAAGGCTTAACCCCTCAGCTCTCTTTATACATGAAATTAACATAATAATGCTGCCAACTTAGTGAATATATAGTCTATTTCTCTTTCTGTTAACTTTCCAACTGCTAACATTGAATCATAATAGTTCTTGAAAAGGAGAAACAAATCTTAAAATGTATTAAAGACTACATTTATTATATGGCAAGCAGTATACTATATGGATGATTATATTATAAAGTTTGACAAAGAACTGTATAGTGAAGATATTTCTTCATCCTTACTATTGACCCCCCAAAATTGAAGTTCAAAATTTTCAAGTAATGAAGTCAAGGTCATAGAGGGTACTCAAAGTTGTCTGTGCTGAAGCTGTATAAAAATTTGAAGAAAATTTTAAACCAATTTTAAGAAATTACGACTTGTAACATAGCTCCTTCAATGACCACATTTAACTTTGAGCATAGTCTCATTGACATTTAGTAAATAGAAAACTCTTGTGGAAATGCAAGTTGCAACGTATCTGATTTAGTTGACTGTTGAGGAGTACGCTGAGAAACCCAAAGCATTTGCCTTAGCTGCTTTATGGTTAGGAGCCATTTCAGTCTCTTCTGACATCCACTCCAATCTTTTCGTTCTTTCACTTTTTAAATGACCTTTTGCATTCTTTATGGATGATGTTCTTGATGTCATTTCACAGCTCACCAAGTCTTCTGTCATTACTTTTCAATGCATAAATTGTTCTTGAGGTGGTTTCAAAATTCCGGTGGGATATACTCAAAGTTGTATGTTGGCTCTTGTGGACTTGTTTTAATTATCATCAACTTTGACTTGAACTTACATGTGGTAAACTGAGAACTTGGATGAGTGTATTTAATCTTATTTCCATGCTCATAACCATGAACATAGAAAACTAGCCCTATTTTGAGGAAGATCTTCATTGCTGTGAGATAGAGATGCTTTCAAATATACACTTTCCATGCCAAAAATTAGCACCCTGCAATATCTCTCCAGTAAGGCGTAATTGAAAAGGAGCCACCATAAAATATGAATAATAGCTTTGTCTGGCTGTGCACTATGCCTGAAGGTTATCTGTAGATAAGAGCAATCAAGTTCTATGGCCCAACCCACAGCAAAATACAGCAGACCCTCTTCTGATATCTCGTGTATATGGATCATAGATTGCCCCCCTGGGGAATGCTCTGGGGCATTAGAGCTCAACTGGCACTGGGTCAAGATGATGACTCACTTCATTTTCTGTTTATTATGTGACCTGCTTATGATATTAACCATTAACTATGTAATAGAATTTCTGTATGAAAATTATGCCTATTGAAAGATTTTAAGACCCATCATATATACCTATTGGAAAATACACTTACTCTCTTGGTCCTGAAATTGGAACAAGGAGCCCCTATGCCCTGCTGTCTGTCTGTCTGCCTTATTTTCCCTAATCATAAATTCCCTCCTGAGAAAATATTCTATTGTTGGTGACTTATACTCCAACACTTATATATAATCAATTGATGGTCTGCTTCACAGGTGGCCCTTGGCCTCTTGTTGTTGTTGTTCGGTGCCATGGAGTTGATTCTGACCCACAGAGAACCTATGCCCACTAGAGTGAAACACTGCCCAGTCCTGAGTCATCCTCACCCGTGTTCCTATACTGAGCCCATTTCAAAGCTACTGTTAAAATTCATCTCGTGAGGGACCTCCTCTTTTCCACTGCCCCTCTACTTTACCAACCATGGTATCCTTTTCCAAAGACTGATCTCTCCTGACCAGCTGCTGATATTGAGCTTCTCCATCATCTCTTACCACAGATGTATTCAATTTGATTTCTGTGTATTGCTTCTGGAGAAGTCCACAAATATAGTCACATTTTGTATTGTAGAAAAAAATTATTTGTGATGAAGTTATTGGTCTTGCAAAATATGATCACGCCATCTCCAGCTTTGTTTCTATCACCTGGCCATGTATTCCAACTACTATTTTTCCTCTTTGATTCTGACTCATAGCAACCCCCAAACCAGAGGAGAACTGCATCATTGGGTGGCCAAGGCTGTAGATCTTCACACTAGCAGAGCTCAACTTTCTCCCATGGGGAGGCCAAAGCATAAACCTTTATGTAACTAGAGCTCCCTCATGAGAATGGTCACAATCAAATCTTTAAACTTAAGAAGCAGTGGTTAAGAGAATTTTCTGATACCTATAGATGCATACCTACAATTTATTGCTTTTTGTTGAATAATTGAGTTCATAGCAGATTGGATAGGGAGATATCATTCTACTTGTAATGATAAAAATAAGAAGTAATTATTTAGGAAAAGGAAAGAAATAACAGTAATCTACCAATCACATATAGAGATGAGAAAATAAATTTACCTTGTAGTATGTTCTGGGAAGTATAGGCAAACAGTTGGAGCTTATATATTTTATATGCTCCATCATATTATAACTTATACTCTATATGTTAAAAGCAAATTCACTGCCATCAACTTTAATGTTGACTCATAGTGACCTTGTAGGATAGAGAGAATTGCTTCTTGTCTTTTCAAAATTCTAAGTCATAATTCTTAATGAGAGTAGAAAGCCCTTTTTCCCTTGGAGTAGCTGGTGGTTACACACACACACACACACACACACACACAAACTTGATCAGGTATATCCATTACCTTTACCCAAACATTGCTAGCCAAATTCAAAATGTCAACATCTAGCCTAGAATCAGGGTTGGCAAACTGTGGCTCTCACTGGAGCCATATATGGCTTTTTTGGTATGTGCATGTGATTCTAAAGAAAAATTGAAAATGAAAATAAAAATATTATGGTTTAATTCATATTATTTAAAATTTTCTCTATTCATAAAAATGTATATATGGCTGGTGAATAAATTTTAAATTTTTGTCAGGGACAGGATTGACTCTTCTTTTCAAAGGGTAACCAATCCCAGATCTAGAAGAAGTGTTGATTAGATAGACTGAAGTGTTGAGCTTTGCACTAAAACAGTGTTACGGTTTCTGAAACACTCTTCAGAACTATTTTTAGTTGTAAATTTAGATGGCTTTAAGAAACCAGCATCAATTAGAGAGGCATATTGGAAATACCTCTTAATCCCCCTGTGGGACAAGGAGTTAAGGGAACATTTTACATTTTGATGCTTTAAGCCCTGAGCATTACCTTTGCGTAGGAAACAAACATCATCTGTTCTCACCCCAACTTCTTCTTTTATAATTTTATTATAATTTGCTTGTGGATCAGATTTCATGTTTTGAAAAGTGGCTTTTCTCACAACATCATCCACAGTCTCGTCACTCAGTTCTTTCTCAAGAAAACTGCAGATTTTAAGCACACAACTTCTCAGATCCTAAAAGAAATGGTTGGTATGAAAGCTAGTCAGTTTATGCATGAGTTAAAGATCTAATTTTTAAATAACATTTTGAAATAGCATTTTTAAAAGTAGTGGTGCTTGGTCTTTTAAGTCTAAATTCGACAATAATATATTACTCTATTATTCCTCCTTTCAAAATGAGTGTTTTGGTTTTCAGTTTATTCAGTGCTTCGTCTTATTTTAATGTAGGAGTGAGTGCTCATTTTCACTTGTTCAATGAGCCAACACTTTTGGAATTTGATGCATCACAAACTCTAGTAGAGATTTGGAAAGCTGAAGAGAACAATAAAATAATATCTGTATTTGTAAAAAACACAAAGTTTCACGGGGATGTTAATAAAGAACATAATCAAAGTGTAACAGTGAGCTTAATATAATACAATGTGAAATGGTAATAAAGAAAGTGCAGTGTTCAGTATGAATTACAAATTAATGCAAGGAAAAATCCTCACAATGGGACCAGGAGGTAATATCATGATAAATTGTGAAAAGATTGAAGTAATCCAGGATTTTTCATCTTACTTAGATCACTATCAATGATCATGGAAACAGCAGTCAAGAAATCAAATGAGCAGTTGTCCCTTCTCTGCTGCATAGAGAGGCTAACACACACAAATTGTGAATCCACAGCCTGAAATAGCCTGTGAGGCTTAGAAAGGAGAGTATTTCAGTTTTTGTAGAGGGAGTTGAGCTTGAACCTACTTTCTGTCTACTGAAATCTCTCTGGAGTTTTTTGTGAGTCAGACTCCCAGATAGATAATAAAGGGGAGAAAAGCTGGATCTTAAAGGGGGATTCTTGGTGCCCCTTATCTGCTAGGAAGTTGAAAAGAACATTGATGCCAGGTAGAATCACACACCTGCTGCTCATGTTGTTGGACCAGAAGGCTAAGAGGGAAGGAGGCCAATATTGGGAGGCTGGGTACTAAAAATAGATTCAGTGTACTGGGGGTTGATATAGATTTCTCACTTAGATTTTCACCCACAGAGAAAGAGGAGATCTTGCTGAAATGTTCTCTGTTTACCATGTGTGCCCTGGTGCTCTGCTAATCCCTCACTAGATCCAGTGGGACAGGTCTGCCACTCCTAGCACCAAAGAAACAAGAGTTGCAGCATGGAATAATTTCCTCTGGCTACTGTCCAAAGTTGGTCATAATCCCAAGCTTATGGAGAATCTCTGAGAACCAAACACAAGATCTCAGATCAGAGTTCCCCTCATTGATATCTGCCTCACTTCTGCATTCTTGGGCTTTGCATCTTCCCTCCCCAGCCAAGAAAAAGTGAGTTATCCCTTTCCTCTTTACACTAGCCACCCCCTTTCCCCCACTCCCCAGGTCTGCGCCTGCCAGTGTGGATAACAATAGATGATTATTCACTCATTTTCAGCAAAGGAAGAGCTCCTGGGATATTAACCTATGATAGTGTTGTGCAGGAGAGAGCTGGGACTGATACAGGAGTGCAGTCAGGGGTGGGGGAAGAGAGATTCAGATTTATTCGGTGCCAAACCCACTCGACTAATCTAGCCCCCTTCCCTGGGGGATAACACAGCACAGCCCCAATACTAGGGCACTGAAAAAACTCATTATTAAAAGAAAAATATATATTATTTTTAAAAACACAGTTCTAGGCTATGTTCCTTTCTATCAATTTGAATATAAGCTGCCAGAATCTGACCCTGGCCTATTAGCATAATATTAATATTAACATAAAAATGCAGGCAGAATTCTAATCTCCAGAGCATAGCCTGTGATTTTGAACACTATAAAACAGGAAAATTCAGGGGCTGAAAGCCACATCCCAAGTCAAAAACTAACTCTACCAGTTTTAGACTCCACAGAGAGTCTTTAAAAGACTGCAAATGGTGGTCAGGCAGTCCAGAGCAGGCCTGTGCCCACACTGCAGGCTTGCCCCAAGCTGGCTCAGTAGCATACCTACATACAATGGCCTCAGCCTACCCTTTGAGGCCCCGATTGCCTCCAGCCACTGAGTTAGAATAGCACCTCACCTACATAGCATTCCAACCTACTACCATGGTAGGCCACAGGTAGTCCCTGAAACCATTCTTACCAGTCACACAAAGAAAGAACTCAGGGCCCCTCAGTCTCATAAGAACATGGCACCCAGTTCTTCCAAAATGACATGCAGACCTAAACATACTTCAACACTTTCAACAAGAAAATAAGAAAAAACAAAACACAACAGCAGAAGGCATCATAAACCTAACAACACGCATTGAAGAAACAGACGTTGATCTTCAACAAAAGAAATCTTCTGAATGCTGACTGGAGTAATACAGGATATGAGGGGAGCAGCACAGTACAAGGATGCAATGATCAAGGAGATGAAGACTTGGTAGACAAGCTTAGGTCCTTGATAGACAGGCTGAAACCCACACACCAAAGGTAAATACAAAAAGTAATGCATGAAGGAACAGAAGCAAAACACAGATAATGGACCTCACCAACTGACTTAAAGAGGGTGAGAATTCTACCAGCCATATCTAGGACAATCAGGTTTCAACAAACAGATAATAAAAAAGACGAAGAAAACTTGAGACCAATGACAGATGCTATGAAGAGAAGCAATATTTCTATAATTGGTTTTCTAGAACAAGACACAAGGAAGATGTCAACAGCTAAATTAGAGAGGGAATTTCTGGAAGGAAATTTCCCCCCCTTAATAGATGTGAGTCAGACATTTATACAGGTAGCAGAGAGGACACCAATTAGACTAAACCCCAGGAAGAACTCACAAATGCATATAATAGTTAAATTATACAACTTTAAGGAAAAAGAAAAATTAAAGAGCAGCAAGAGAAAAAAAGGCAGTCACATACAATGGTGGCTAGAAGAATATGCTCAGACCTATAAGCAGATACCATGAAGAGGAAGAGAGTGGAATAACATCTTCCAAAATCTGAAAGGAAAAAAAAAAAACGCCAACCTGAGAATCCTCTACCCTTCCAAATTATCTATTAAGACAGACGGTGAGGTAAGAGTCTTCCCAGGCAAAGAAAAACCCAAACAATATGCCATAAGAGACCCATCCTTGCAGAAAACCCTTGCTAACTCACTGTGGTCAAAAGTCTAACATAACAATAAGAACAATAAGGAGACCACCATATAGTACAACATTAAGGAGACCACCATATAGTACAACTCAATCCAGAAGTCAACATGCCAAAAACATTGTGATAGTTATGTAATCTGGTGTCAAATTTAGACTGTTCAGTGAAGGAGTGGACTTTAGCCTGTCAATCAAGTCACAGCTTGATGACCTCATTTGGAAGCACTACAGAGATAAATAACTCGCTGGAGGCAGGACACAGATACGCTCCCTGTGAGACATTCCTGTTGAAAAGGCACATGGAGACACATTGATGGAGCTAGAGTCCTGATGCTGGAGGAGCCACATGGAGGCACACACCCATGCTGAGATCCTTCTAATGGCACTGGATCTACAAGATTTTCCATCCACTGGCCTGTGATCTTCAAGCATTTGGCATTATTGCATGGCTGTCTAAGTCTAAAGAGAAATGTATGAACTAGCAGTGGACATATGGGCTAATATTGGACTTATGGAATTGATCTGTACTGGGCTGGTATGTTTCTCAATATACAATTGCTTTTTTATATAAATCTCCTTCTTATACACATTTCAGTGTCCGTAATTTTTTTCTCTAGTCAAACCTGAACTAACACAGACAATTACCAATATAATATTGCCTCACAGGGAAAAGAAGGCATGAATAAAGCCCCCCACATAAACACAGCACACTGATATTAAGGGATATAGGAAAACACCCTACACAAAGGTATGAGATAACAGCAATGAATCCACAGATGGTAGTAATAACTCTGAATGTCCATCACATGAACTTGCTCATTAATAGACAAAGGTTAACAGACTGACTCAGAAAACATAACCCATTAATCTGTTTGCCTGCAAGTGACACATCTTAAAATCACAGACAAAATAAACTAAGAATAAAAGCGTAGCAGAACATATATCAGGCAAATGGCAACTTAAAAAAAAACCATTCAAGAACTTTGATTCTTTTTTTTCTTTAACTCAGGATATTCTAGTTAAAGTGATAAATTTAACCCCTTATTCCTTCTATTGTTTAGGGAGTTAGTTGATTTATTTGGTGAGTAGAAGAATTAAATGTTGCTTAAGATTCAATTTAAACAGTCATATTTGCAGCTTTTAAAATATACAGACTCTATGTGCACTGAGTTTTTAAAATAAGGAACTGAAAAACTTTGTGATACTCTCTCACCTCACTAAAAATAGAAAAGTCCAAAAAGACAAAAGAACAACACATCCTGACAAGGGTGTGGAGAGACTGGAACTGTCAGATGCTTCTTGTAAAACTGGAGAATGGTTAAATGAATGTGGAAAGTTGTATGTTGCTTCCTTTAAAAGTTAGGCATCCTGGTTGTATTGCAGCAACTGCAATCTAACTCAGAAATTACTAAAGGGGAGAAGAAGGGTGAGCATAATAGTGGGGCAGGAGGAAGGTAAAAGGAAACAGAGGAAAGATCTAGGTAGCAAAGCTATGGATAGAGGTATAAACACTTATGTGTGCACTTATGTAAATATATTAATTAAAATAGTGGTATTGGCCTATGTACATATATTTAGATGGAAATACATTGAGGAAGTGGATGGACTTTGAGCCTCTGCTTAAACTCCCCCTCAACAGATGAACACTTTGTTCTAACAACCTGGCATTCTGTGATTATCACCCTCCTGACACAATTGCTGAAGACAAAATGCATGCATAAGCAAATGTGGTGAAGAAAACCGATGGTTCCCACTTATCAAAAGATATAGCATCTGGGCTCTTAAAGACTTGAAGCTAAACAAGCAACCATCTAGCAGCAACAGTCCACATGGAAAAAGCACCCCAGCCTGTGTGATCATGAGGTGTCAATGGAATCAGGTAACAGGAACCAGAAGATCCAACACAACAAAAACATATTTTTGAGAATGTAGGGCTGTGGAGCAGAGACCCAAAACCCCTATATAGAATGTAGGGCTTTGGAGCAGAGACCCAAAACTCCTATAAAGGACATCCTTTACAAAAGGATCACAAGGGAGGGATGCGTCAACCAGAGGGATGAATATCCACGAAGCACACAATATTCCTCTGGTTCTTTGAGGCTTTCTCACCCCCAACTATCATGACCCCAGTCCTGCCTTTCAGTTCTAGATAGACTGGAGCATGTACACTGATACAGATAACAGCTCAGTCCACAGGAAAGCCAGGTCAGGTAATCCCCTCAGGAACAGAAATGAGAGTAGCCATACCAGAAGGGTAGGAGGAAGGTGGGGAGAAGAGAGGAGGAAGGGGGAACTGATTGCAATGATCGACACCCCAGAGGTGGTGAACAACAGAAATGTGGGTGAAGGGAGACAGTGGTAAGTGTAAGGTATGAAAACAATAACAATTTATAATTTATCAAGGGATCACGAGGGTGGGAGGGGTGGAAAGATAGAAAAAAGAGGAGCTAATACCAGGGACTCATATAGAAAGTAAATGTTTAGAAAATGGTGATGGCAACATATGTGCAAATATGCTTGATACAGTTGATGTATGAAAGAACTCTAAGCACCCCCAATAAAATGATTGGGGGGAAAAAGAAATCAAATGACACATTGCATTCAGTAACCCTACTTCACAAGTGTTGACAAGCAAGGATTTTTCTTTGAGGACTAAGGTGGGACTGATCCAAGCCATAGAATTTTCCAATGCCCCATATGCATGTGAAAGTTGGACATGGAATGAGGAAGTCTGCAGAAAAACAGAAGCATTTGAACTATGATGTGGGTGAAGAATATTGAAAGTACCATGAACTTCAAAAAGAACAAAGAGCTCTGTCTTTGATGAAGTACAGCCGATGCTCCTTAGTGCTAAAGATGGGAGACTTCATCTTGAATGCTGTGGACGTGCAGTCAGGAGAGATGCGTGCCTGGAGAAGGACGTCAGGCTTGGTAAAGCGGAGGGGCAGCGAAGAAGAGAAAGACCCTTGATGAGATGCATCCATCTCATCAATAACGGACTCAAACATAAGAACAAGCGTGAGGAGGCACACGAGTGGGTGGTGCTTCGTTTTGTTGTACCGAGGGTCACTATGAGCCAGAAGCGATGTGATGGCACACAATAACAACATAACAGGAGAAGTCAGAACATGGTAAAATCATCTTCAGCAAATGTTTACTTTCACGTTCGACTCCCCGCATATTCTATTGGTTCACCTTTCTTTGAATGGGCACAAACATGGCTCTCTGCAGTTGATTGGCCACAAGCTGTCATACAGGTGGCATAGACTAGTGAGCATTCACATAACAGTATCAGTTCATGGAAATGCTCCAATTTATATCCCACCTTCCAGAGCCGTGCGTATCACCAGTGCTTTCAGGGTAGCATGGGCTTTTTCTTTCAACACTGTCAGTACCGGATCATGTCCTATCTCTTGACATTGTTTAATGTCAACCAATTCTTTTGGTACAATGCCTGTGTATTTCCACCTTTTATGATATTTTTGGCTATTTCCTGTGTAATTCAATTTTTTTTTAACATTTTATTAGGGGCTCATACAACTGTTATCCCAATCCATACACACATCAATTGTGTAAAGCGCATTTGTACATCGTTTCTGAAA